GCGTTCCCTCCCCCCTCCCGGCGTGCTCCCCTGCCCGGGCACACACCCGAGCGTCGGCTCTGTCCCCATCCTCGGTCCTTGGGACCCACGTGCTATAGCACGCCCTCCATGAAGCTGGTGTCCAGGTGCTGGATGAGCACGCGTAGGAATGACATCTCCTTGCGAGTGTTCTCGAAGATGACGCGCGGGTCGTCCGACCGGCAGCGCAGGCAGTTGGGTGCCATGACCATGGCCAGGTTGCTGACATCCATCTTGGTGATGGCCACGTTGGCTGGCTGCACGAACACCTGCGGAAGGGAGAGGAGGGTGGGCCCAGGCCGGCGTGTTGAGTGCTGGGGGGGGGGGGGGGGGGGGTGCGGGGAGTGCCCCACCGCGTACCTGAAGGAAGCGGATGAGGTAGCACAGCACCAGGCGGTTGATGCGGGGCAGCGCGTGCACCACGGCCACGGCGGCCTCAGGGCTCTCGTAATGTGCGATGCACTGCTCGTAGAACTCGTGCGGGATCAGGGGCTCTTCCAGCTCCCGATACCACAGCTTCAGCAGCGACGCTACAGACACAGGGCAGGGGGGAGGGGGAGGGCTCAGCCCAGCCTGCTGGGCAGGCACCCCTGTAGTGGGAGCAAGGGCGAGGCAGGGGATGTGTCGGGGAGGGGAGGCAAGTGGCGTGACCAGACTGGAAAGAGTCCACCTAGCCCAGGTAGGCTGCCCAGGCCGGCCCTGGAGGCCTGGGGGATTGTGCAGGGAATGAAGGAGGGCTGCAGGAAGGAGGCCCCAGGGAGACTCTGATGGGCAGGGGGTGTCTGTGGTGGAAATGGACCGGGAGCCACACTGTTCCAACGGCCCAGACGCGCTCCAGCTCCTAGGGAAATGGGCTCACCAGGGACATGGGGGTCCTCCAGGCCTGTAGGCACCTTCCACTGGTCTACCTGTAGCTTCAGGGCGTTCACTTCATCAATGTCCCCAGGAACTCTGTGGAATACACGGGTGAGTCTCACTGAGTTGGAATCTGTCTTGCCCTTGATCAGGCGCCTCCCCATTAGACTGGCCTCTTTTCCACCAGGGAGAGAGGTGGCTTGGGGCTCCTACCCCATGCATGCTGACTGCTGTCCCTCCCCACTCTGCTAGCCACCCCCGTGCGGATGCCATTATCACCGAGGCCACTGAGGATCAAACCCACAAGCCTGTTTCCCCAGCTGTTCTCTTGGGGCTTGGGTGGAGGGCCTTGTACCATTCCCCCCCCCCCCC